TCACGTGATCCTTTCGGTCTTTCACAACAGTATTCCCAGCCGAGAGGCATATGAGACGAAGGACGCGCCCCGTGACCGCGTCAACGACTAAATGCCACCGCGTCATGGAAGGCAAGTACGGTCCGTCGTTCAGGTTTATCGCTGTGGAAATGGTGGCATGGCGGTCAATGCAGCTGCTGGGTTGCGGATTGCTTGTAAGCCAACGTCGCGGTCCGCGAAATTTGCCTATCCGCGTTTCTTCATGATTAAACCGTCTCGACTCTCGCGACTGTGGGTATGCGCAAATCGCGGGCCGGATTGACGCTCATTCGTCGGCGATGTGCATACCATGACCCAACTGCGCGAGCTACCTTCAAGTAATTGTCGTGTTGTGCGCAATGTCAGCGTCGTCTCCTAGCAAAATCAGCGCCTCTTGGCGACAAGGTCTGCGCTTAAGTCATATTGGCTGCGACAAAGGCGGCAGTCTAGACGTCCCGCCCGTGGTGACGTACCGGCATCTCCTCTCTGCAGGCTCGCTCCACCCAACCAACCCGCTACGCGTGATTGCGCACTGTGATGTCGATGCAGCCTACGCGCAATTCGAGGCAAAGCGCCTGGGACTCGATGCACGCGAGGTGCCATTGGCTGTCCAGCAGTGGGATGGGTGCATCGCGATCTCCTATCCCGCCAGGAGCTTTGGCATATCTCGACTCGACACAGTGGCGACTGCGCTTGAAAAATGCCCTAGCCTACGCTTGGTCCACGTCGCCACGTATGCCGAGGGACAGGATCAAGCCGAATATAACATGGACCCTCGCCCAGACACCCACAAAGTTAGCCTCGATCCGTACCGTCGAGAGAGCAAGAAGATACTCGCCGTCTTCAAGCAGACTTGTCCCAACAGTGCGGTCGAAAAAGCATCGATCGATGAATCTTACTTTGATCTGACCATAGAAGTCCGCAAGCTGATGCTTGAACGGTATCCGTTCCTCGCGCAAGCCCCCCAAGGGTCTTCATTGGGGATGGACACACCTCTGCCACTCCCGCCCCCGCCAATCAACTGGGACGGTCTCGGATACCAAATACCCCTCGCAGGGCCTCAGAAAGGAGAGCAAGGGCAAGGGGTCAGTGATCAGGCCTTTCACATGCGGCAAAAGCAGCGAGAAGGCGAAGCAAATGATGCAAAGAATGCTGGGGAGGTGCCTCAAGACGCGCTGCCAGGGGCAGGCTCACCCAAGACTGCTGCTGCTGTCGCCGCCGCCGTGGAGGACGGGAATTTCCCA